CTCCTGCTCCATTCAGCTTCCTCAGCCTCAGTGAGGAGAGTTGCCTCTCCTCACCTTGGCCTTCGGTCGCCTCCACCTTCTCTCCTTACCTTGAGCTCAGCTCAAGCTCGGTACGGGCTCGCCCTGTCTTCTTCCTCGCCCTCGCCTTGCTCTTCCTCCATGTCTTCCTCTTCTTCGCCATCTTCCCTCATCTCCACCCGCAGTCGGTCCTTCTTGTCCACCTTCAGCGAGCAGGCCAGCACATGCATCTCTGCGAATTTACTCAGTGCTATGAACAGGAAGCTAAGAGATCGACGCTCTATGTCGTCGCTCTCCGCCTCCTGCTCAAGCTCAGCAGCTGCCGTTGCCCGTGGCGAGAACGCGCTGCCCCTCCTTGCCTTCTTGCTCTCTCCTTGCACGCGAGTCCAGCGCTTGCTCTGCAGCCACTTCCCCAGCTTCTCCTTGAGAACGTTGCGCCCAACTCCCTGCTCCTCTGGCATCTTCGCCCACTCTCCCAGCGACATGAACTCCAGGCTCCCCGGAGAGTAGAACGTGTCGTGGAGGTTGCCAACGGCCTTGTCCAGGACCAGCTTGATCGGCTCGCTCGTCCCCGCCTCGTTCAAAGAAGCTGCATCTTCGATGACTGCTGACAGCTCGCTGACGAGCTGCATGTCCTCTTGGCTTGACGGAGATGCTGCCTCCATTGTGATCCTCTCCAGGTCTGTAAACTCCAGCCACTCTCCCTCGCTCTCCTCCTGTCGCTGCGCTGCGTCGCTGGTGCCCCGCTGACCAGCCGCCTCAGAGTCAGGCTCCTTGTCGAAGCCGACTGCTTCGAGCTTGGTTGCTGCGCCTTCGAGATAGAAGGGCAGCTCCTTCATCATGCGTCGAGCATCCTCCGTGGAGCCGAGGAGGATGCATAGCTCGGACCCGTTCCAGGACTTGGTGTTCAAATCCTCCTCCATGTCGATGCCTTCAACGTTGATCTCGAGCCTGTTAGCGATCTCCAACAAGACTCTCTTGACTCTTGCGATAGACGTGTTGCCGCCGTTGCACAGCCCTTCCATCTCCTTCCTCGTGAAGCGACCAGATGCCGCCGTCGACTTGATGATGATCTTGATCTCCTTGCCGTCCTTGCCGCCTGCCTTCTTCTGCATCCTTGATGCCTTCTTCAACTTATTTCTGGACACAAAGCGATCAGCTGTCAACTCGACTGCGAGCGCCTCTCTGATCTTCGGGTCCTCGCTGAACAGAGTCAGGTGTACTCCCTCCATCGCTTCGCTCTCTCGGAAAGCTCGAAATGCTGTATCATTCGCCTCTGGGCAGCTCGAGGAGACGATCCACTCCACCTCCCTCTGTCTCCAGATGACGTTGGCCCCTACAGCGATGAAGCCTTTCTGACCTAAGCCTTTGTGGACTTGCTGGCCTGGCGCCCCAGCGACCAGCATGCCTGCCAGCGGCTGGAGTTGGACCGCTGCAAGGGACTGGCGCAGCAGCTGATAGCGATAGACGGCAGCTATCTCAGCCGTTGTCATGCCGCCCAAGGTTAGCAGGTGAGTCAGCTCTGCCAAGCTGCCCCCTTTGCCCCAGGGTCCTCTCTTGGCTCGAATCTTGAAAGATCGATCGTGCACGATGCTCACATGTACAGCTGTGAACTTGCGACCATCGATCGCGAAGTCCTCTCTTCCCTGCCAGAGCTTCTCCGCTTGTGCATTGCGGAGGAAGGAAACAGTCACCGGGATCTCCTCAGCACTCGCTATCTCGGGTCTATACGGAGCCTTCCACATGATTGCTTTACTCTCTTGCACTGAGTCTACGATCAGTCCGATCTCTTCAAATTTCTTCTTCAGCTTTTCTTCATGGTTGACATACACCGAGGAGATGCCCAGGAGAGTCATGGAGATGAAGGAAGTCACCTCGTTGCCTGCTGAGGCGGTGTATGTCTCGACCTTCTCCTTCTTGGCTTCTTCAATCTGCTGCATAAACCACTCTCTGGATGCGTCACTCCATCCAGTCATCGCTTCTTGCAGAAACTCACGTCGTGCCTGCTGACATGTCGAGCGGATGGCTTCTGCGATAGCGTCGGGGGTGCATCCCGCCCTCCACAGCCTTGCAAGCCTGGGCTGTCCTGCTGTTCGGATAACGCTTCGCGAAGCTCTTCACCCTCTCGACGAGATCAGCTTCGAGGACAGAGGCATCCACAAGTCCGCTCTGCGTGTATTGGCATGATCTCCGATACAGCAGGTTGCGAACATTTTCATCATACTGAAGAACCATACTTAGAAAGCTATTTGAAGTATACAAACCTCTCGCTTGCAGCTTCCTTGGCGCCCTGGCGGCTTCCCCTACACCTGGCAAGGAGCCATGCTGCCGAAAATAACGGCGCCCTGCCGAAAATAACGGCGCCCCTAAACCCTAAACCCTATTATTATTATTATTATTATGTGAGTTTATTAGAATGCTAGAATGTTGCTCGGCCTCGTTGTGGGCTTATGCAAGTTGATCCTAGTCTAAAGAGGCGCTCGAGCACTGGGAGTACACGGCCTACAATGCGAACCCTGCTTCTGAGGCGTCTTTCTACTCTCTACTTTTGCTGTCTTCTCTTGGCTTCCTCAGCCTCAGTCAGGAGAGTTGCCTCTCCTCACCTTGGCCTTCGGTCACCACCTACTCTACCTCCATTCAGCTTCCTCAGCCTCAGTCAGAAGAGTTGCCTCTCCTCACCTTGGCCTTCGGTCGCCACCTACTCCTGCTCCATTCAGCTTCCTCAGCCTCAGTCAGGAAAGTTGCCTCTCCTCACCTTGGCTTTCGGTCGCCTCCTACCTTCTCTCCTTACCTTGAGCTCAGCTCAAGCTCGGTCCGGGCTCGCCCTGTCTTCTTCCTCGCCCTCGCCTTGCTCTTCCTCCATGTCTTCCTCTTCTTCGTCATCTTCCCTCATCTCCACTCGCAGTCGGTCCTTCTTGTCCACCTTCAGCGAGCAGGCCAGGCACATGCATCTCTGCGAATTTACTCAGTGCTATGAACAGGAAGCTAAGAGATCGACGCTCTATGTCGTCGCTCTCCGCCTCCTGCTCAAGCTCAGCAGCTGCCGTTGCCCGTGGCGAGAACGCGCTGCCCCTCCTTGCCTTCTTGCTCTCTCCTTGCACGCGAGTCCAGCGCTTGCTCTGCAGCTACTTCCCCAGCTTCTCCTTGAGAACGTTGCGCCCAACTCCCTGCTCCTCTGGCATCTTCGCCCACTCTCCCAGCGACATGAACTCCAGGCTCCCCGGAGAGTAGAACGTGTCGTGGAGGTTGCCAACGGCCTTGTCAAGGACCAGCTTCAAAGAAGCTGCATCTTCGATGACTGCTGACAGCTCGCTGACGAGCTGCATGTCCTCTTGGCTTGACGGAGATGCTGCCTCCATTGTGATCCTCTCCAGGTCTGTAAACTCCAGCCACTCTCCCTCGCTCTCCTCCTGTCGCTGCGCGTGCCCCGCTGACCAGCCGCCTCAGGCTGTTCAAATCCTCCTCCATGTCGATGCCTTCAACGTTGATCTCGAGCCTGTTAGCGATCTCCAACAAGACTCTCTTGACTCTTGCGATGGAAGTGTTGCCGCCGTTGCACAGCCCCTCCATCTCCTTCCTCGTGAAGCGACCAGATGCCGCCGTCGACTTGATGATGATCTTGATCTCCTTGCCGTCCTTGCCGCCTGCCTTCTTCTGCACCCTTGATGCCTTCTTCAACTTATTTCTGGACACAAAGCGATCAGCTGTCAACTCGACTGCGAGCGCCTCTCTGATCTTCGGGTCCTCGCTGAACAGAGTCAGGTGTACTCCCTCCGGAGATATTGGCCACATGTTTCGAACTGCGGCATTCTCGATGGTTTCCCGAGCTTCCTGTGTTCCTGGCGACTCTTGCTCTACCACGCAGGGATCCCTAGGGATCCTGCCTCAGATAAAGGGATCCTGCCTCAGATAAAGGGATCCTGCCTCAGATAAAGGGATCCTCCTAAACCCTAAACCCTAAACCCTAGTAGTAGTAGTAGTAGTAGTAGTAGTAGTAGTAGTAGTAGTAGTTGAGTTTATTAGAATGCTAGGTAAGTTTACATGGCTTGTTATCGCCTTGCTCTATTCTAGTCTAACAGGGATCTCGTGACCTGGCAGTTCGGCCCGACTTGGCTGGCCCCGGTGGCAGCCCGGCGTGCTTCCGAAGTTCTGCTCTCAGAGTCTGCTCCCTCCTCTGATATACTTCTAAACCCTAAACCCTAAAGGTTGAGTATAAACATACTCAGTTTTAAGTAGTTGGAATGCAAGAAGCACAACGATGGAGCAACAACGCCGCCCTACAGCAAGGATGATGGTGTGCTACATCAGATCATGTCTTAGGATCATATTAGACATACTTGTACAGTAATTCTACACTTCTTTCAGTCATGATCATAATAGAAAACCTTTCATTTGTACAGATGAACATGGTCGGAAGAATCATACTGGTCTGTTTGAGATCGCCAAGTTGTCATTGTGCGAGTCCCTGGAACAACAATATGAGGTGCTTTTCCTTCGTACACTGCACGATCATCCACACCCCAATCACAAAAGCATCTTCTCCCCATTCCCCGCACTTCTCCCATTATCCGATCCCCGTCAACATTATACAAGTCACAAGGAGTAATTGTTATAACATGCAGGATATCATCGAACATTCCAATGCGTCTGTACCAAACTCTGAAACCCTCCTCATGATAGAGAAGGCAGCACCCCGTCGCATCCCGCACCCTAAGCAATGGCGGACACGGGGGACAAAACCAACCACTGGAGGGTGATCTCGAGGACGACAGCCAAGCCGGTCCGGCAAGTGACAGTCATGATCATGAACAGGTCGATCAGCCCTCCCGATCCAGTTCCACGAACCCTCCGGCTGTGGCACAGCCCAACACGTGTGTCTTCGGTGCTGATTGCTTGATGCAAAAGGAGGCAAACGCTGTTCTGAAGGTATGCAAAATATGCAGGCTGTGCTTTTCACCTTGTTTGTGCGTGGGAGCTAGCTGGCTCGGATCGCAACGATGAATGTGGAAAGCATGCACCTCTTTCGCGTAGAAGGAGGGTGAAGGACAAGAATGTGCTTGTGAGAATGTTTGACGACCCCGAGGCTGGTAGTATTTCGGGCTCAGATGAGGACAGCAGGGTCAAAGAGGAAGGGCAAAGAAGAAGAAGAGAATGTAGATACCCCAGACCTGGCAGGTCACGAGCGTCAGCCAGAGGCAGTAGCCAACACTGTGCAAGCATCAAGCAGAGACAAAGCAACCGCAGCTGCGTCCACCGTCCAGGGGTATAAAAGTGCGTCGAAATATCTGTACAGATGCAGGAATGTTATGTTTACGGCAATCGGGTTGAAAAAGAGGCGGAAGATAATCGGATGACATGCTGGATGGTTACATCAATTCCTATACCAAAGAAGTTACCCGCCCGAGTACAAAGCACTGAACAACATCTTGAAAGAGATGAGACCTCGTAGAGTTCAGAGTCCGGCAGTTAATGGATTTTCTCTTGGGCATGCTGTTCATGCAGAAGTGAGAGTCTAGACATTTGACATCTTGAGCACTTTGACTGGGAAGATGATTGCATGAAGGTAGTCTTACTCAAGACAAAAAAAGATCAGTGTAGTATTGGCACTGACATGTGAAGCACAAGGATCAAACATGTGTTTGCATCGCCCTACACTGCAGAAATGTGTCCTATTTTTCCTCATTTATTTGCCACGCAATCAACCACCTTGGGCACTTTCTTCTCTGTCAACTGCTCATGGACAAGCTTCGTGCTTCGCAACCTGCCCGCGTTATCTGCGTCAGTTCCGAGCTACATCGCAGTGCTCCTAATCAAGACCAAGAATTCTCTAATTGGACCCATCCAGAAAAATACAGCTTGATGGAAGCATATGGCGCATCCAAGCTGAGCAATATTTTGATGGCAAAAGAGCTTGCCAGACGATTTCATGATCAGAAGCTTGACATCATTGCTGTCTCTCTTCACCCTGGAGTTGGTCCAACTGGCCTGGCAAAGGAAGGTTTGTCAGGTGTATTGATCGGTCTTTATCGAGCGATAGGAGGGATGATTCTCTTCTCCCATGAGCAATTAGCTGCAACTTCTACATTCTGTTGTGTTGCCCCCCCCTTCTAGCTTGGTTCCAGAAGAACATTATGCTAGGTGCGCAGTCATGAAGACATCTCATCCTTTAGCTGAGGATGCAGAGAAGGCTGAGCAGCTCTGGAAGAAAAGTGAAGAGCTCACAAAAAACATTTCTGCGCCTCTGAACTGATGCAAAGGTTTCGTGAACAAGAGTGGTGTGCTTTTCGATAAATTCTATAATGTTACATGCTCATCGACCAATCCATATAGAATTCTTGGGCTCGGCTGCTTGTGGAGTTGATTTCCATTCAAGTGATGATGGCAGAAGGGTATTCGATGTAGAATTGCTATCATTTGGTAAAATTTCGTCGTCTGCTTGGTCTCCTTCATCAACATGACAAGCAGAAGCAGGCTTTGACTCCACTGTGAACGGAGTCGGTCCAGGCTTGTCGCGCAGGGATAAGCTTGGTGCACCATCGTCCGAGTCCTCATTCTCCTCTACATCAACAAGGTGCAGAAATGAAATCACATCAGAATCATGTGAAAGCTGAGGATGAGCCCTCAGTTTCTCCAGAAATTTCTCCAAGTTCTTGCGATTCTTTTCTACAGCCTCGGCTTTGGTATTATTTTTCCTGTGAATCCATGTCATCGATGGCAAGAAGGACTGCAGCTGCAGATAGTTTGTGATATCAACTTGTACCTTGTTACATATACGGGAAAGGAAATATCCAGCTTGCCATATCTTAATTCGAGAGAATCATAAAGATCTTCAAAATCCTCCCATTTCTTTCTACATCGACCATAGGATGCGTCTCCAACAGAGATGTAGTATTTCTGTGCCAAACTATCAGCTTCCCTGTGTCCTGCATTCTTGCGCGAGCATTTTACCGTCGATCGGCTGAAGGAGGCGCGAGCTGTTACCCTCACCCCTTCCGCCATTTACATCAGGTGATAATTCGATTCTTTTTTTGACTGAAAAGAAAAGGCAAACCGGAGCGAACAAAGGAGGTCGAGGATAAAATCCAACAAGACAGCCTCAATAAAACACTAGGAAACGGAGGAGGCAGCGAAAACCGCTACTCCAACCACGCAAGCGACAGCATGCACGAGGGGAACAAGGATCAGGACAGGTGATAATAATGACCTGGCCGACCCTCGTCCCCGCGCGGATACGCAACCTGCAGCTGAACCTGATGCAGGCTGACCAGATGCTGAACATGCCGATCCTGATGCTGATCACCAGCAGGATCACCAGGCTGATGAATGCATGCTGATCATATGCTGATACTGATGCTTATCTCATGATGTTGGTACTGATGCTTACGATGCTGATACTGATGCTTATCTGATGTCTGATCAGAAAAGCTGCGATAGGGGAACAAGACGATGTTGAGAATGCCCTGACTCAGACGAGTCGATTAGCATGTCTGCCTGACTAGTCTACTGTTTGGTTCCCGTGATGGATGTGAAACCAAATCCGCCCGTCAAACCGCAATTCTCAATTTGTTTTTCTTGAATTTAGAAATCTACACTTTTGTTTGAAAATCAAGGGCTCACAACATGGATAAGGACAGGAGAAGCCCTGGCACGAAAGAAGTAGATCAGCCTGGGGCGAAGAATCATTTGCAAGCTGCAGAGGGCATTGATCGTCGAAATAGGAGAAACGTTTGCGATATGGAGGAGGGTAATTTCACCCTGAATGAAAAGCTGTTCGTGGCTGAAAGACTCTTTGATCGAATTCTACAAAGAGAGATTTTAGTGCAAGCTGTTTTGCAGGGTCAAGACAAGAAGACGTATCGGGGCATTCTCGAGGCTATTTCTCAAAGGGATCATCTCGTGAGAGAACTCCTGTCGAAGCAACGTGCCATGAAAGCGATCGAGCAAGAGCAAGAACATCTCCAGGCAAAACTGAAGCAGATTCAACACGAAAATCAAAAATTGAACGATGCGAGGATTCTGCTTCAGAGCAAACAAAACCAAGATGTGGACGAAGAAGTTGACAAAGGCCGTATCATGGAGAAAAAGAAGGCAATTGTTCTGCGAAATGTTATCATCGCGTTGGTATGAAGTTTTTTCCTTAATATTTGTCGTTGTAATGACCATTTCCATTGCAATGTTTCAGATTGCTGAAAGAGGGATCGAATGGGCAGACAACGAAGCATTTAGAGATGTGATGGTGTTTGACGACGCAGAATACTTATGCCATATCTCTCAATCTCGGGCATGATTATACTCTAATCGACAACGATGAATACTTTGAAATAAGATTTCAGAAATACAAATCTTAATATGTCGACAGGGGGTTATTCGGAAAACTCTTTAGGACTCAAGCCTTCCTCATCGCGAGTGCCCACACAATGTATAGCAACGGATACAATGCGAGTTTTGAAACACTTGGTGGACTCACACCATTTCAACCCTCGCACCGCCCGTCTTTCGAGATGAAATACACCACCCCTGAGGACCGGGACGCGTCTGAAATCTTCTAATTTTGTACCACATTGATGACAATTCGCTGTCATATGTTTTTCATAACATCAAAAACGCGTTTGAAAGCTTTGTGGCAATGTTGTTGGATCCATTTGACGGGTACGGCCTTTCCATTCCTTCCACTAGCACTGAAAGAGGATCTCCATAGGCAATGATTGGCTCAGATAAACCCTTCCTTCTTCCGTTCATGGTCGATATCATCCGGCCATCGAAATTAGCCAACACCACACTGAGTAACCGCTCTGCGACACGTCTTGAAAGAAAAGTGCGTACTTGTTTCTTCAACTGATCTCTGCCATTGTTCAATCTTCTTCTGGTTCAGTGAAATATGCTACTCATGGCGGCAGCCTTCACTGTCTTTGTGCAACTGAGAGAACTCAGTTACTTTAACTTGAAAAAATAGCCTAACTACTAAAACGATGGCTCTTCCGACCGCGTGAATCAGCACGCTCGCCTCAGATACTAAATACAAGTCAGAGAGTGAATCATAGGAGGCCTAGTAATTTATTATCGAAGCCTTTGAGGCAGAGATCATCACGAAAATAGAGGGACGGCAAGCAGGACGGCAAGGGGAAAGCAACAAGGGGCACGAGTGGATATGCAGCCTGAGGAATCTGAGCAAAGGCTCTTATGGGTTGTGATTCCTCTGAAGTGACTAGCACAGGCCAAGGGTGAGCGACATGGTGAAGCAAAAAGGAGACGTTCTTGATTTAGATGTTATCGTCAATGATCAGCCTATCTTGACAGCTCTTGTGAATCATATTTCTCTCGTTGCGCAAGGAATTCGTTTCGCCATAACCTGGCACACTCTGATAATGTCTTGCATAGCATGCTTCTTTACCTTCATCTGCTCGAAAGGAATGCTGGAGATTCAATTCAACACTTCGATGAGCATTGTAGCGGTGGGGACAATCTTTCCCTTGGTTTTCTCAGTGCAAGCAAGCTTCCAAAGGAGAGAGAAGGCCTTGAGTTGTTTGGCAAAGCTGAAAGGAGCAATGTACACGATGTACCTTATGTTTAAGACGTGGGAGAAAGACCAGAGTGGCGCATGGTGTTGGGAGTCTGACAGTGTTGGAATGAGGGCCCAAGCAGTGGAAACTCTATTTCAAAAGCTTCTTGATGATATTGAATGGTATTTGAGGAGCAGCAAGCATTCTGAGGAGGCAGGAAATGTTGTCTACGATGGTTTTGCGAGCCTTGCAGAGAAGATGCAGGAATTTCATGCCCACTCTGGCTACAGGCTCAATGGAGAATCTGGGATGGGGCGCATGTCGGTTTACTTTCGTGACATGATATCACATTTTGAAAGTGTGCGCACCATACGAGATGTAGAAACTCCCATTGGTCTGCGATTGTTCTGCTTTGCGCTGATCCACACCACTCCCATCCTATTGGCACCTTACTGGAATCACTTCTGCGTGAAGCAGCACAATTGGGAGATAATCGAGAACAAGTATGGATGTGACGCAGGATATTTCATCTGTATCACCTACGTGCTTATTGTTATCACACTTTACCGTGTGCAAAGCGAACTGGAGGATCCTTTCGATGGACGTGGGGCTGATGACATTAAGTGGGAGTTCATCCGATCGCAACTGGACCAAATGTCAAACTATGGGCGAACAGGGAGAAAAAGAAGAATGATGTTGGTAGATTGGGATGTATGATTCAGCCATTCTAACTGAAATAAACTCAAATGTAATTGACATTTGATCGGCAGGCGCCGTGCATCGATCACAGCATTGCAGCTACCTAACCGCACAACTGAACAGCCTTTTTTGACGGTTATTCATCATAAAATCGATGATTGACATGCAGATCTTGCTTATTTTAGAAGTTTAAGCTCTCCAGCCTATTCTCAGTTTAAGTTCGTAACCTGTTCGCCCCCTTCTCTGATCTATGAACAAAACGCGAAATCGGGACCAGTTTCCTTCGTAAAATCTCTTCTAATCTTTCTGATTATATCCCCAACGTCCCCACTGTCCAGCCGGTCCAGCCGGTCCAGAAGCTACCGAACAGATCAGCATTCCGAACAGATTAGCATATGGGAGAAAGGATTCTTACCTCCTGCTGCGCCTGCAGGTCCAGCCAGACCAGCACGTCCTCTACCTCCTGCGACCGACTGTCCTGTCAGACCTTCTGCTCCAGACACTCCTGCATATCCTGGAGGACCGCGAGGGCCCGCTTGACCTTGCTGACCATCAATCGGCTGACCTTCTGGTCCCAACAAACCCATGGGGCCTCGTCGGCCTCCTTCACCTAAGGCCAATATTAGATGCTCAGCATGGGCTGCAACATCCTCGTACCCTGAGCGCCTTGAGGACCTTCAGGACCGGGCAAGCCCATATCACCCTTCGGTCCCACCCCTCCAGGGATACCATCCCGTCCATCGTATCCTCTTGGCCCGGCTGGTCCGATGTTCCCTGGGGGCCCTCGCTCGCCGACAGGGCCAGGATAACCTGCAGGTCCTGGGGGCCCATCCTTTCCATCTTCACCTGGTGCGCCAGGAGGACCAACTTCATGCTGTATGACATTGGCTTTGACAGTGATATCATTCAACCTTCGCTCCATCGAGACCTGCGATCGCTTGATAGAATTGTCTAGAGCAGACATCCTGGTGTCTAAGTAATTGTCACGAGCCATCATTTGAGATTTGACATCCATGAGACGCTTTTTGTATCCCATGATCTTTCGCCTTAGTTTTCCAATCTCTTTCCAAAGTGCTATTCTTGATGACTTCATGTTGTCCGACGTAGAGCTCTGCACATCATCGATATTGTCCTCCAACTACAAATATTTTTTCACAAACAGTGAAATCAGAAGACAAGCACAACTCACATGATCGATTTTCCCCCTATCCGCCCTTTCCACGTCTTCTACAGAATCAGCCAAGGACATAGCGTCGCTAGACTTGCTGATAGCTTCTGTGGTCATTGGATGGGGTCCAAGAGGAAGCTGTTGGGTCAAGTGGAAACTAACGCTTGGTGGAGGAAGGCCGTTCCCGAAAGTGCATGGAGGACTGAAGCAGGTGTAACCAGGCAAGGATCCTAACAACTCATTTCGAGCTGCCTCGCGCTGGAAAAAGGAATATGATGAAGGAGCCGTCAGAAGTGTTAAGATGATGAGAAGACAAGGACAACTCCACCCACCTTATGCGAAAACGAAGTAGCAGACAGCACGATGAGCACCAGCCCTCCGACAATCGCGATGGCTGCTGCTCCCTTACTAAAGGTCCCAACCATAGCGCGCCTCTTCGCTTTTCGTTTGTCACTAACGGACTGTAACGGACTTTTTGGTTTCTTTTTCTGTTAAAAATGCAATTGACCGTTACTTCCGAAACTTGGTAGTTATATTGGACGAGGGGTCACGCGGACGTCGAAGAGACAAACGCCATGCTGTCTATGTTGTTCAACGCGGTAAGAAACAATTTATGTGACAGCCACGTCCATGCACACCACTGCTCATCTTGCATCACATCAATACACACCGCTGCTCATCTTGCATCATCGAATCACCATCCGCTGCATTATTCATGTTGAGTTATCCTTTCCATCGTCACTTTTGCAGCTGTACGGGCAACATTTTAACTGAGTAATCCGTATTTTACGTGTCGCGCTCTTTCCTGAGTTTAGATATGATAGGGATCCGTTAGAGCCACAATGACTAGAGCCACAACTGTCATTTGTGTATTCTTGTCTGATGATGTTGTGGTTGAGAGTGTAATAGTATCCATTGCAAGTCTTGAATCGTTTCCTCATCGCTTGAGCCAAATGTTCTAATGAACATGGTCTAATCAGAAACTTGTAATCCACGTGTAAATCAGAACGATCGGAATTATTGTCTGATTGTATTTATGTGTGATTTGTAATGTAATTTCGAAGGCAACATGATGTGAACATGCCAAAGAATCGATTTTTCCCTGTGCTCGAGGTTGTCGTGTTTGACCTTCTACACGGCAGGCCCACAATGATACTGCCCAGATTGACCTCGGTATGGGCAGCAAGATGAGACAGGTTTTCGTCGGACAGACTGAGGACAGAGCTGTCACCACCAAGTACAATCCCACCCTTCTCCTCAACTAAAGAGCACGCAATTTTCAAATCTCTTGCGACTCTGTATATGTAGGAAGGAATAGCATTGTTTTATTACAATGAAGTAATGTGCGAATGCAATATGTGCCATACGGTCTGTGAATGTCTCTGTAATCATTTAAACTCTTCTGCTATTTTCTTTGAGCAATCGGATTCACCAAAGTCTTGGGGCCTGACGTCGACTAGTTGCTCTCCATTCTCCCAGGTCTTCCATATCGTTTCTAAGGCGTTCTCAAAGCTTCTCACCCAACGCTCATTGTCAAACAGAGGTTGCGTCAGTCGATTTCTGCAAAGTTTCGAGCGTAATCCTTGCAGCTTCTCAGGGTTGCTGGCGAGATCAACGGCCATCTCCTCGTACTCCTCCAATGATGTCGCAACCATCTCTGGCAACCCAACGCTGCGAGCAAGAGATGTTGCAACCAGCGAGGGCCAGTTGCTTCCCTTCACTGTTACTATGGGAACACCAGCCCACAGCACATCGCTTGCGGTGGTGTGTCCGTTATACACCAGAGTGTCGAGGTAGAGGTCTGCGAGAGTAAGACGCTTCATGTGCTGCAACTTGGGGCTACAGGGAGGAGCGAAGATGATCCGATCGGTCGGGAAGTCTTGACGGCGAGCATAGTCCCTGAGACGATTAGCTGCCGCTCGGGGATGACTGTAGAGCCAGAGAATGCTTCCTTCCACTCTCCGCATGATCCTGAGCCATGCATCGAAGAGCTCCTGAGAGATTCTTCCCAGGCGGCAGAAGTTGCACAAGACAACTGCAGGTTTGTCTGGCAGAAAGTGATCGCGTCTTTTAGGGAGCGTCTCTGACCTCAGCACGTCTTGGTAGAGATCGTTAAACGAGTTGACCTGGTAGCAGTGTGGCATTCTAATCAGCTTCTCGCTGTAAAACTCGCGATGCTCTGGCGGACAAACATGATCGTCCACAACCTGACGATATGTCACTCACGGAACCATCAGCACTTGCCCTCACGTTGAAATCAATATAATCAGCTCCAGATGTTCCAGGATATGCCAAGTAAACCACCTGGATTGGAGCAGGACGCAATGAACTGATCCCATTGCGATCTCCTGCAGTGTGCCCGTTGAGGTTGATGAGGATGTGGATCCCATCTTGAGCGATGATCTCTGCACACCTGCAGCACCTCAGTGTAAGCCGACGACACACTGCCATACTTGTCGTCTGAGTCCTTCTTTGCAAGATTCTTGAAGTTAGGTATGTGGTGCTTCAATCTCCGACGATACTCGGAGTTAGCATGGTTAGTGATGGAGTAGCAATAAACATCAAAACGATCTTTGTCATGTAGCAGGAGCGCTCTTAGAATCAGGTCTGCCGTAGGGTGATCAACGAAATCAGAGCTCATGTATCCTATTCGCAGGCGTGAAGAGGAAGCCCCCGAAACCTCGTCCACTTTTCTCGCGATCTTTTCAACCTTCCAAGATTTGATTTGATCTGTATCCACAACATTCTGCGACTGCTGGCCCTCAGCTGTCGCCTTCGAGAGCAAGTGGTTCCGAGCCTTCTCGAAGCAAACTTTGGAATAAACTTCTGCAATCCTTCGGATCATTGACTTGTCGATGGGGTAGTGAAGCGCATGATACGGTAAGATCGGAGTGAGAGCTCCATCTTCGAGGCATTTCTTGCTGTCATCGATCAAGCAACATACGTTCTTCTTCCACTCCTCCCAGAAGCAGCCACAAGACAGGTCAAACACCAACTGCAACGCTTCCCGTCAATCTCGCACTCGAATCCAAATCTAAGAGAATCACCTGCGAGAATCCGTCCCGCTCTCGTCTTGACATCAATCCTGCTGCGAACCTTGAACGGGAAACTTGGAGCTTCTTGACAAGATCCTCATCATATTCACGTTGCCCCACGCATTCTGACGAATCGAGAGTCAGTCCAAGAGCTCATGGTCAGTCACCATTCTCAGATGCCTCTCACCCGAACAACTCCATCCATTGGGTGGTAAGATTCCTTGACTGATGCACATGCAACCGTAGCAAAACCACCGACAACAGACATCACAATTCAAGGCTTCGAGCTCATAGTATCTGGAACAACTTTGAGGGTGACGGTGAGTTCAAGCAATACTAACCCGCAGGACGAGCACAACTTGGAAACATTCGCTAACTTGGTTTTGCTCCGCCGCAAAGCTGGCAGAGGTGAAAACTTTCGCTGGATCATAGCGTCGTGCATACAAGAGTGACATCGCCAACTGACAGAAAGTGAGTAAGTGCAAAAAGGAGAGCGGCTGGATGCCAAGAACATCTGACCCGTGAGAAGGTTTGAAGGCTTCCGGTATAAACAGACATCGCTTGTGGAATACGCTTGTACACGAAGAGCAGTGGACCTGAGATCGCGTGATGGGTTTAAGATTTAGTTCCTTGCAGAGAGCCCTGCTGTTCTCACCTCATCAGACTGGTAGCCGCAAACTTCGCAAAACTTGGGGAGCGTCTGAGCAGGCTCTTGGCTTATGCAGACTGTCTTGGGTGGATATTTGACTTCACGCTGGGAATGGTCGGGACAGAGCGAGGAGAGACGGGCAGAGTTCTTAGAGAAGCTTTCGCACATTCGCTTGGTAATGGCCTCATCCTCCTCCTTGGAAATCCGAGAGAACCAAACCCTCGAGTCTGGTGCTAGCTTGCTTCCACAGAGGGGACAGAACTTGGAGCGCGCATTCTCCCGCCCGTCGACCCAGAAGACAGACTTGCAGAAAATGCACATGAAGCCAACATCCTTCCCGCCCGCGCTCTCTGCTCGTCTCTTCTTCTGTTTCTCTTCGGCCTCCCCTGTTGCGAGCATGCGTCTCTCTCCTCTCACCTGTCAGGCAGGGGATTTACGTCAAACCACCATTGCCACATATCTAATCCACGAACCCGCCCTGCCCTGCCTCTTTTTCCATCTCCTTTCTTTCCCTCTCATCGTCCTCCTCCATCTTCTTCTCTTCGCTCCCCTCGCGTCTCGTCTCATCTCGCCCTCTCGCCCGCCCTTCCCTCCTGTAAAAGTTCTCGGCAGGATCCACGAAAAAAAGGGTGAAAATTCCCATCTTCCTGTGATCCTCCCTTCCCTTCCACCCACCCCACTCCCTCGCTGCATCCACCCTTCCTTTCACCTCACCCCACCCCCTTTCCCTCCCTTCAACTCCCTTCCCCCCTTCCCTTCGCTTCCTCCTCCTCCTCCTCCTGCTACTCCTTACTTGGTGCTAATTGAGAGTCTCAAGCGTTTGCACTATAAACTGGGGTGTGTAGTAGGGCATATTCTGGCATTTTAGGGGAATTGGATGATAAAATTGCTAAATTACTGTATTTGGCAATATTTAAAAGTCCGTCTAACCAAAAAACATAGGGAAACCCTCGCAAGAATTTTCTAGGGGCAGCGGCGTATAAATGAGCTTTAAGCGATTTTATTGGCTCAAATTTGGAGACAGCTCAGAGAAATAAAAGCATTGATATTGAAACTAACAATGTGACTATGATGAGAAAAGCATGACTAAACATTCAAATGCATGGTACAA